TGATCTTGTTTGTATATGATAGAAAATTAAATGTTCTTTCCAATGGTATCAAACATAAGCGGTTATCACCAAGAAGTCCGAAGTTACTATAAATAGAGCGCTCCGGGTGCCAAAAATCGACCAAAATCCAGACAAAAATTAAAAAAAATTAACTTTAAAATCGATCCAAATAACGTTTTTTACATTTCTAGTGATCTTAAAGACTCAAAATAGTGCATAAAATGTTATTGGGTCAAGTTTAAAAGCTCACGAATTTTTTGAGTTTAAAAACGCTTGAAATATGTTTTTTTAGACGTAAAATTACCAGCTGAACACGATGCAACAGGTTAAAATACTCTGCGACGCATAGTTTTTGCATTATTGAGTAATAAAGCTAAAAATAAGGCTAGAAGCATAAAAGATCTATAAAGGAAGATGTAGTAAATAGTGCAAGATGCAACACAATAATAATAACACAAATCTGAAATCTGACAAAAGGTGAACTTCAGAAATTCATAATCAAAATTGATGACAAAAAGAAGACTTTAACTTGAAAAAAACTTTGTTTTCACTGCAAATGAAAATCTCAAAAAATTGCACACTTAGGTGTGTTGGTCCTTAAATCGAGACAAATCAGGACATAAATGTAAAACAAGACAAGACAATAAAAACCTAAACATGTCCTGACTAAATCAGGACGTTGGCCCCCTTAATCTGGCAGTCTGAAACCTGCGGCTGATCGAGCAAAACTCCACTGACGTCACCATATAGCCATCTTACTCGCTTAATAATGGACTCTTATACGGCCCGTCGTGTTGTTGAGTACAATAATTTAGTAAAAAAGGCGGCACCAATTTCTCAATCATTTTGGTGCAGACCAAACGATAATGCTCATAACATAATAATAAGGGGTTGTGAATTAAATATGATCCTATTATTTTTTTAATATAAAGTCAGTGCTTTTTTTTTGTAGTACTTCTAAGGCTACTTCTACTACATATTCCACCAAAGCAAGAAATCTTCCACTGAGATAATTTAAACCTCCTCTAACCTGGTTATGAATTAAATCCGAAAGAGGGCAACTTTTTCTTGCAGAACAGTCACGTAGTTGGGACCACGATCGTAAAATAGACATGTCTGGAAACTCGTGTTTCAAAAGTGAGGGCAACTATACCCGTGGTGCCTCTACTGGATACTACGATAATTACTGCGTATTTATGAACGAAAAATGACGTCGCCGTGCGTAAATAATGGCAAATATTAAATTAGCGCTTGTTAAAATTTGTTAGGTTATTGTGGTCTTGTCGGTTTTACATTTTTTGATGATAGAGAGAACCCGGAACATTCTTTAACTTTTAAATAAATCTGCAGTTTTTGGGATAACGTTCATGCTATCCTGCTACCTGTGATAATACAGGACCTTCAAAAAAGACCTGGAGAAAAGGTTATGGTTAAAGAATAAATTAAAAATAATGTTGGTAAGTAAATTTAATTTTACAAGTTTTTTAAAGTTACGTAAGTGGACCCTATTGACGAATGTAAAGACAAAAAACTTGACTGTTTTTACGTTGTAATGTGTTTTCTTTTATTTACTATTTTACTTATTTAAACCGGGCGCCACCAACTTTTTCCTAAAAGTTGGAAAAGAACCATTTGGAGATGTTCTCCAGGTTTACACTACATAAGAATGCCTTTCCGGCCAGCTTTTATACAGTGGAGAGGAATGGGGAGGTTCGATTGAATTAAACACAGGTGATTGAAAAGAGAAATTTATTTAGTAACCATAACAACAGTAACAACAGATAAAATAACAAACTTTACAAAACAAAATCTAACTTGGACCTAGTGAACCCTAGCCCTTGGAGAAGACGTCCTCCGTGGGTGAATTTGAGGGGAGAAGTCCCGTCGATTGCTTTTCCTGAAGAGGTCCAAGAAATTATACCACCTGGAAACTGTCCCAGATGTTAAGCCCTTACCACGGAAGGGATCCCGTGGCCCGTGTTCAGAGGTGAACTCGGCTCCCAGAAACTGTCCTGAGGCAGGTGTGGTTTAACGACGGAAGAAGGTCCCGTCGACCGTATTCTTTGAAGATGTCCAAAGAGTACAATCCTTCAGAAGCCGTCCTGAAGTTATTCCACCAAGAGAGGTCCTGGTGATTTCGTCCGAAGATGTCCGGAAGGAGACTCAAGTGAATCTGCCGGTGTGGCCAATTCCAATTTAACAATCGTTTATTGTTTGGTTTTACAGTTTAAAACTTATATCTATGGTTACAAGGGACAAAGACGCTGCTGAGGCGTCGGTGTGGCGGCCCGTTCTCCTTTATATACGCTTTGAAGTCAACATTCCTATAGCAACAAAACAAACACTTTGTTTCCACTTTTGATCCATTTATCTGGGCGTATTATATCACTGGTCTATTTTTGGCGGTTCTTTTAAATAAAACACCGACACATCATAACGTTTATTCAATGAATTTTTACACTTTATAACTGACTAATTGTTTGGAAAATATGCTACACATATTTCTAATACCAAACAAATACTAAATCTAAAATTTTATTACAACGTACAAAAAGGAATTTATAAAAAGTAACAGAATTATAGTAGAAAAGTCCCGTGTACCTCTTACTCGATTCTGTTATAGACATTCTAGTCATATCAGTGATTAAATTATCGTCATTAAGTCATTATTGATTTTATACATAAGTTATTTTGCAGTTGTCTAATCCTAACAAATAATGTAGGGATAAACGTTAGTGCTAAATTTTAGAAGAGTTGTGGTGGATTTTGAGAAGGTAATCTTACAAGATTTTTCTCTTATTTTCACTGGGTCAGATCTCCCTAGGGCAAAATTGTTTGAATAATGAAGAAATAAACAACAGTCACAATGAACACAAGTTCAGGATCTGTTCAGGGTCTGTTTTTGTGGTAAGTGTGAACTTTGTAAACAGAGTAAAGGTATAAATAGGTACATTTTTAGAAACTTGATATACAAGACAAGAGGACTCATTTGTGAAAAGAACATAACAAAAATATTACTTAGAATGATACACATATGTCATAGAACCCTACTAAAAAATTCGTACAAAGATGTAGCTATTTTACAACTACCACGTACTAATCACTATGAGGGTTTTACAATTCCAACATAAAACGAGCCGCAAAGTTAAATGCCCTTAAAGACCATAAAATCGCTATATCTTTAGACGAACTTTACCCTAGTCGTTAAATGTACAATCAGAGTAGAAAAGATGATTTTTTTTTAAATAATCTGTTATTTAATAAATTGAAAGTAAAATCGGTAACTGAGCTTCACTTCAAATTAAATATACTGTTGAATAAGATATGACATTTATTGTTGTGGTTTATGGCTTTAATCTTTTCTACGCTGATTGTACCTAGATTTATGACAAGCAAAATTTAGATTTTTTCTTTTTGTCTGAATTTAATTTGGCTAATTCTTGGTTATGAGCCCTGGTATGCTGGCGCATATTCATGCAAAGGTAATACCTAATAATAAAAACCATAACTTCATGTTTGTGTTCTTCACAAGGAAATGTAAATGAAATGTTGTCTAGCATGAAGTCCAGGGTTTTCTCAAAAACGTCGCCGTCGTTGGCAAACCGTGAAAAAATTTCTTCCACTTTCACTATGAATTTGAAGAATGTCATATTCGGGTGTATCAAACCGCCGTAGGTTTTTAAATTTGTCAGTTGTGCAACATTTTCTCGCGAATATTCGTTCTCCCTCGTAATACTTTGTAAACATGTGTTACATTTCATATGCTTTTTCACTTGCTTACAAAGATATCCGGTAACATAATAAATTACACAGTCAATAGTTTCTGCATAAGAAATATCGCCTTCTACAATATCATCAGGTTACCATTCTGTTGTTACTATTATCCCATCGAGTTTTTCTTTAAGAATCTTTGGTGCATTTACAGCTTCGTTATTATAAATATTTTTTATGTCCTCTATAGATATTAAATTAGTCGATGGAGGAAGGTCTGTTCTAACTGTGCAATTTCCAGATTTCGGAGGTTTTAGAACGGAATACACCGATAGAAGTTTATACAATTGTAAGAAGGTGGGTGTTGCAGGATGGTCATTTTGTCCACCAGCTTGTCTTATAATTCCAAAAAATTTCTGAAAGAGAAAAGTTTCACACAAATAAATTAATACAATATCCATGCAGTATACCTCTAATAAATCTTGGTTAATTTTCCCGGTTAATAAATATGAAAAATTGTATTTTTCTTTTAAATAATTGCACAACTCTGTTGCCGAATGCAAAGTAATTCATAACCCTTACGAAGTGTTTTTTGATAAAAACCCTTTTGGAGAAATATTTCCACTTTCCACCTTGTTTTCCCAACAATCTAGCCACTCGATGAATGATTTTAAAATCTTAAAATTGGTTTCTGTTTTGATCAGTTTTGTTTTGTTTTTGTGTTTGTACTGACCTTAAAATCATTAGAGTTCGACTTAAGGGCACACAAAGGAATTTTACGATTAAGTGCATCAAACATATCATTGATTTGTTCACAAAATGCGATTGTAGCATCACAGTTTGTAAGTCCAGGTATGTTATGGGATGCATAGAACTTCAAGCCATCTGCCATTGACTTGCTGAAGACCTTAAGTACAATATTATATTAAGGACGTTTTTATTTTGTTACTGTATGTATTCTTGTTTGTTATTGTACGTGTTATTCTTGTTTTGTTGTTGTGTTATTGTTATTTATATAGCATCATTATTTTAAATTACCTGAGTAGGCAACTTTACGCGCATTTTCTGAATGGAGTTTAAATTAAAATGATTGGTAGTAATTGTAGGGCAAACTCTTAAGTTTCCAGGAAGTTTAATGTCTGCTTCATGAAGTGCTCTAAAATGCTCCCATTGTACAAATCCTTCCTCAGCATCAGTAACCTGAATAATTTATTATATAATTTATAGTTGTATTCAAAAGTAAGGTCTTCGTTATTTTATTTTTAAACACGACTGGTTATCAATTTGAATTTCATTGCCTCTTGTGTTGTGAAAGATGAGTGAAATTCTTGCTTTACTTACTTGAAGAATTTTCTCGTTGTATAATCGGTTTCTAATGCACTTAATTAAGTGAGGAGTATTTGAAAATGCAAAAATTTTCCTTTCGGGAACTAGTGGATGTTCAAAAGAATTCTTTAATGAGTTTTTTCGCCCATCAATTCCTAACATACTTCAAGCCATTCTATTCGTTAGCGCCCCGTCTGCGATAAAAGCATGCACATAGGCACCTGCTTTTTCGAGTAATACTACGGCCTTAATTATTAACTGAGCTAAAGTAGTACCTTCAAAAGAAATCAAAAAATAGATAGAAAGAGTAAAATCAAAATTGTACCATCAACTGGCCCTTTGGAAGCAAAAACACCAATAGGTTGAGTATATCGGTCTGCTAAAGATTGAAACATGAAAACTAGAGCATGAGTTGCTTTCTCGTTGAAATCCAATCCGTGCTTTTCGAGCATATCATTTCCAAAATCAGAGAGACCAACGTAAGTCAGTTTCTTCGAATTGACGCTTACACTTTCCCGCACTTGAATTTCGTCAAACATCAAAATTCCATGTCTTTGAAATTCTGTTTTTTTTAAGAATATTGAGTTTGAATAAGCCAAATATTTTTTCGTCAAAACCGCATTTTCTATCAATAAGTTTTAAATAATTTCTTAGCGTTTTTGATGTCGGTAAGGGTAATATTTGCATATTTCTTAAAAAGTTGTATCCACCAGGTGATCTAATGTGCATGCATTAAAATGCACAACAAAACCCAATGGTCCGAATAACGTCTCCCTTTAAGTTTGTGTGCCGCAGCAGACATAATTTCTTTTACCGCAATTTTTTCATTTGCTGTAACATTGGGTTGTTTATCCAAAGTGATTTCCCAGGAACTTTCATTTTGTGCCCTATGTTCATATTTCTTTATCATTTTATTTAATGTGCTAATTTTTTTTATGTCGGTGAATCTTGGCAGTTTCATTTCGTTGTTTATTGGCGGAGTACTGCAAACTTTTGTCGCAGATTATTTTTTTTGTAGGTGAATAGCAAGTTTCTTGTATTTTCTTTCCTTTGGACAAAAATAACACACCATCATATTTTTCTTGATAACCATTGGGCACTGCTTGTGTCGCAAATCGCCTCGAATATCGCGCATACTATTTTTAGTATCACTATAACTTACTTTTGTACCCTCGCAAATCCTACTTTTGTCAAAATTTTGAATCAGTTCTTTTAATAAAACAGTGGTACTTATTTTTTGCTTGGTAAATGTAATTGTTTTCCCAAGGCATTTGAAAATAATTTCATCATATTTGTCAATTGAAATTTCTTTAAAAGGACAATATGCCACTGACTTTTAGAATTTGGGCCTAATGTAAAATTTTCAAAGACAATAATATTACTTTGGATAGGAATAATTTGAGACCAGCTGGGAGGGAGTGTTAGGGTATCAACAGAGGCTATATTGTACAGATGGCCTTCAGTTTTAAGTCTTTTTAATTGGGTCGATCTCTCTTTTATTTGGGCTTGCAATAGGACGGGGTTCATTTAGGGTTACAATAGGACGTGGTTCTTTTGGGTTTGCAACAAGACGGGATTCATTTGGGCTTGCGGGCTTGCAATAGGACGGGGTTCAGTTTTTTCATTTTGAAAGAGTACAGGAACGACATTTTTACGTAGACTCGGGTACTTCAGGAAGGCCTATAAAACCAGATCAAATTAATAATGTGGAATTTATTGGAGGAATATATTTAAAAAAAGCAGTAATAAAAATACCTATTTATTTATTTTATTAAACGTAATCAAATTAACAGTTTATGAAGATTGAAATATCATTTTCGAATCACATTTTTATTATTTTGAGTGGGGAAAAATGCTTAAAATAATATAAATATATGTACATTATTTTTCGAACAAAATAAAAGCATATTTAAAACTAATGACATACGTTATTTTTATATTTACATTAATCCACTGGGCCGATTTATAGATAGAAGGCGAATTAGAAATTAATTTGTGTTAAAAGTTTGTAAAACTGAGTAAAAGTGCGATGAACCCGTGAATCTGAGTATTTCGTTGGTTCAATTTGGTCACCTGTGCAGTTAATCTAACGTTTGATTGCAATAAAGGTAATGACGCGTCTATGTATCAACCGGCCCTAAATCGTAATTTAATAATTACTATACGAAACCTTTGCTACTACGTTTCCAATGCTCTATCGAAATGTGTTTTCTCTCTAATTAGTAGTAAGTGGGTCCACTGGGCACACAGCTTTTTTTAAGGAAAACACCCCGATTTTTAATGGTAAACAGAAAAGCAGAAAAAATCGTGAAACCCCCCGTTTTAAGGTATAGGAAAATTTGGTGTATGCCCAAACGGTATACACTTCAGAAATAAATACTTTACCTATTCACATGCTACGCACTAGTCCAAGAAATTTGTAAAATAAGTGGATTATTGTAGAAAATGTAAAATCTAAACGAAAAGTATAGGGAAACCAGAATTTATTAAAAAGCGAAAAAAATGGTTCAGAAAATCCATTTGTACAATTTGTAAATCAGAAAAAAATAATATATCAAAATCACCAGAAGATATAGAAATTAAAGAATTATTTAAACCAACAAGAAAAAGGTATCCAACCAGAAAAACTATTCAAGTAGGAATAGGTAACACTTATTAAACTGACTTATATTTTTTCTATAGATCAGAAAAAAAAGTAGAAGACCCAGATTTAAAAGCGAATATGATAAAAATAATAGTGACTTTAAAAAACCAAAAAAATTAAACAATGGTTATATTGGAGTAAGAATGTCATAGATATATTTTCAAAATATGTATGGTCCGTACCAATCAAAACTAAATCAGGTATTGAATTAGCAAATGCTTTTATTTCAATTATTAAATCTTCTGGTATAATACCAATATACAGGGTGCGCCAGAACTCGCGCCCCAGAGAAAAATGTCAAATGCCGGCGGCAATAGGTCGCCAAAAAATGCAGCCGAAGAAGTAATTTTTGCTTGTATAAGAGAGTTATTAGACTCTTAAATCCACCAATCCCAGAAGGGCACCTCAAGGTGTGCTTGAAAAATTATATCCGTTGCTAGGTTACGAAAATAATACCAATTTGCCCAGAATTTTCATTAAATAGCTGGTCTACTGGAATTTTTAGTTTGACATTTATTAATTTGTGGGTGACATTACCTGCTAGTTTGCAGTATTTTTCTCGCATATACACGTCGCATTATACACGAGTATAATGAGACAGAATCGTTAATTATTATCAACAATTATCAAAAATTATTTTGAAACATTCTGGAAATTCCTGATGAACCGACTTCTTCACAGGTATTGTTCCTTCTCAACTTTTTCTTCGATCTGATACAGATTAACAAACCGATAAATGAATTTTAGAGCTTGAAAACTAGTGCGTTATCTTTATGAAACAAAGAAGCAAATGAGAGTGAGAGACCAGGAAAACATGAAGAAGTACGAAAGTTTCTTTATCTACTTTAATGCAAAATTAACAGAAAGATGTACTTTCTATAAGAAAGGTTACTAATTTTAATATTAAAATTGTAGTTTTACTCTCGTATTTAGGCATTTTTGTCCAGGAGAGAAATTCTAACCTCAAAATTTATTGTTGCTTTCTTCCACTAACATGAGCTTACTATTATAACCCCTTGGCTGCTTTTTCATTAAAAAATCCAGAAGAATGTTGCGGTGTTGGTGTTTAGTACGAAAAATGAGCATTTTTGCTGCTGGAAAGTAAAATCCAAATGTTTTAATTCCGAGGGCATTTCAGCAACGCTTTTCGGTGAATTTGTGGGCTTGTCTTTCGAGGAATTATGTGGTTTGTCAATAATATCAACTAATTTCAACATAACGTGACTCCCTTTCTAAAAAGTACATTTTTCTGTTAATTTTGCATTAAAGTAAATAAAGAGACTTGCGTACTTCTTCATGTTTTTCTGGTCTCTCACTCTCATTTGCTTCTTTGTTTCATAAAGATAACACACTAGTTTTCAAGCTCTAAAATTCATTTATCGGTTTGTTAATCTGTATCAGATCGAAGAAAAAGCGGCGCACCCTGTATATTCATTGTGATAAAGAAAGAGGTATCTTTAGCAAAATTTTTAAAGAAATGGTTTTAGAACATTATATAGCACAGGTACTGCAAATAAAGCTTCCATTGTTGAAAGATATAATAGAAATTTTGGTGAAAAAATGAAACCAATATTATTTAAAACAGGAGCCTGGTTAGATGCTTTACCTACAGTAATAAAAAATTATAACAACACAATTCATAGTACAATTAAAATGAAACCATCTCAAGTAAATAAAAATAACGAAAAATTATTATTAACTTCTGTTTATAATTACTCTATTACAAATAAAAAACTTAAATTTGAGGTAGGTGATAGAGTTAGATTGTCTCATTATGTTGATATATTTCGAAATAAATTAAAAAATAATTGGACTATAGATCCTTTTAGATATATTACTATTGCAGGTGTTTGCTTGGCTATATATAGATCAAAATATATTAAGAAAGATACAATAGCTGTTGTTGATAATCCGAAAAAAGATCAATATTCTCAACAATCAATTTCATGGTTAAATAGTTTTCATAATCCAAATATAAAACACGCATTAAACAATGGTGAAGTGAAAATATGTGGATCAAAAGTTGACAGATTTGATAAAAAATCCAATACTGTTTACCAATATCACYGSTGTTTTTGGCATGGTTGTACTAAATGRTATAGTTCKGATTTTAWTAATAATAAGAATYAAACAACTATGGAAGATCTTTATGAGAAAACAATAGAAAGAAGCGAGAAATTAAAAAAAGCTGGTTATAACTTAATAGAAATGTGGGAATGTGAGTGGACGAAGTCAAAAGAATATAAGAAAGAAATGAAACAAATTGAAGAAGAAATTAAGGAATTGGAAGAACTTAATCCTAGAAACGCATTCTTTGGAGGAAGAACGAATGCAACAAAATTGCGCGTTTAAGGGGCAAAAAATGAAATATGTATATAGATATTTGCAGTTTATATCCAACAGTACAATGTTACGATGATTATCCAGTTGGACATCTTACTAAAATATTCAAACCTCGTACGTATAATTCAGATTGGTATGGTTTAATAAAATGTGCAATTTTAGCATCAAAAGGTTTGTATCACCCCGTTTTACCTGTTAAGAATAAAACCAAATCTGGTGATGAAAAACTAACATTTCCATTATGTCAATTGTGCGCAAAATTAAATAATCAAAAAGATAAATGTACTCATACGGAATCTCAAAGAATTATCAGAGGAACCTGGTGTACCAACGAAGTAAAAAAAGCAATTGAAAAGGGTTACAAAATAATAACTATTGATGAGGTTTGGCATTTTTACGAAAAATCATCAAATTTATTTAAAGGATATGTGAAAGCGTTTATGAAAATTAAATTAGAAACAAGCCCTTGGCAGGATGATTTTGAATCAGAAGAAGAATATAGAAAAGCTGTAAAAGAAAATCTAAGTATTGAATTGGGTAAAATAGAAAATAATCCTGGAAAGAGGGCTGTTGCG